AGATAGATAGATAGATAGATAGATAGATAGATAGATAGATAGATAGAAAAAGAGAGTTGTTATCACATGTGGTGTCTGCAACTTCTGCAGAAAATGGGGAAAAGATTCCACCATTTTTCAGTCGATAAGACATTTGTTATCAAATCAAACATTCTTCTTGCTTAAGGCTTATGATTAATGCCATTATTGATACCATGTTGCAAGTTACTTATCATTAATTACATTTTTAATACTGATCAAATGTTATATACCATCCTTCAACTTGTCCCCACTCTCCAAATGTCGAGAATAAAACAGTGTATTTGTGTGAATTGATGCTCTCTCCCTAACACAGTTAGCCTGTACCTCATTCTTGTTTATGCTATTGATTCACAATATATGAGATGGTCAATGCTTGCCTCTGGAAATTGTACCCAGTGAGCTTTGAGTCCAGCATGCTGCTGACCTGCCTCACAGGCACTCTGGCCTCATCTGACAATTGGCTTCCTGTCAGCATTGGTCACATTGCTAATCAACAAAGCACAGTATTACATTGGACGCTTTTCATTTTCTCCTCTAAGGATAAAAGAGGTCCACCATCTGTTTAGCTGTTTTTTTTTCTTTTCTACTAATTTTTTTCGGAAATAACAACATACAAATTGGTTTGGAAACAACCAGTCTTATTATCCAGTTTTTCTAATTTATCAAGCTTCCATGAAATACGTAAAGATTTCCTGTCTTCACAGGACGTGCACCAATTTTCTTTTGATTTATGGAGACACAACATAAATCATTCAGAACTGTGTATTTAACTTTGTGCAAAAGCGTAATGTTGGAACAGATATTAGATTGATCATACCTGTGACGAACAGGGACTGATGGCACAATCCAACGTTTATGTGAGCATTGTGCATGTGAGAGAGATTTTCTCTAAAAGCATTTTGTTCTGAGAGTGGTTTGCTATAATGGTCAGATAGTCAATGAAAATCAATCAAATGACATTACAGTCACGGGCAGCACGCTGCATTGCTGCCTCGCTGCAAGACAGCTTGTGGTGTGACGCTCAGCGTTGGATTTGCGTGCCGGTTTTCTGTCAGCGGTTCAGTTTCCCTCAATGTCATATTCATCAGGTTGACTTCAGATACTTGCTGTGTGAGGTGCAGATCTGCCTTTTTCTGTGTTGACCCTCTCATGGACTTAACTTAACTAATAACTTAGTCAGACTGTAACTATATAACATTGAATCAACCAAAGCACAAATTTGAGAACAGAATTTGTCCACAGCTGCTCTGCGGACCGAGTTTATTCTGTGTCAGTCTCAAAGGTGCTGAAAATCTATTTTTGGTACGATTCCTCACTGGATTACAACGATTGTGCACAACACCAAAGCTGTTGATTGCTGAAGACAAACTATTCACAGTCTCTGCCTAGGAAAGAGTTACTGATTTCACATCATTTAGGTCAGACAGTTTACTGTAGCCTTCATCACCACCCACACACACCCACAGAGACCCCCCCCACACACACAATCATTCAAATGCAAGCTCTTTTCTGAGATGAAAAGAGGGCATGAACTACACCTTACCTGAGCAGATAATATAAGCAAAATGATTTAGATATCTAACAAAAACTACAAATTTACATATTTATCCTTCTGACGAGTTAGATAAAATGTCATTTTATGTGTTGGACTATTGTCAGACAGACAAGCTCTTCATGTCTGTTGTCATCATTTGAAAAGAAGAAAGGGGATTGGAGAGGGGTTGAACCATTGGAGCTCATGCTGTGACACATGTGGCACTTCATGTGGCAGCTCTCACCACTCTGTTTCAGAGCACCAGTGAAAGCGCCGGTGTAATTAAAGGACCGGAGTCAGACGTGTAATGAACTTTTCATGTTTGAAACGCATTAAGGTTTAATGTTGTACACTTACGCCTCAGCCATTTGCTTTCGTGCAATATTCCGGGCCGGCTCCATTTAGGACAGCAGCGCGAAATGCATGTCGGCCATGCATCTGAGGCCGGAATGAAGGTGGTGAACTGTTTTCAGTTGAGGACTGATGTCCAGCTGTGGGCACTTACTTGCTGCAGTGCCTGTGGCCTGTAATGAGAGGAAATGGCCGGAGGAAAGCGGGGAGGGAGGGGAGCAGCAGCGGTGGGAGCACAGAGAGGACGCAGGGGGATTTATATGTGAGAGCAGACTTTGAAATGTGCCTCCATGTCTCCTGTTTCAAATTTCATGCGACATATTCTGCTAAAATGTGGTTTCTGGGTTACGTCTGTGTTGGGTTTGTTGGGATTAAATGGTTGCTGGAAAATCACTTGGCTTATGGACCAAGAGATGCCTTATCTGACGGCAACATCTCTGCTGCTATTTTAGGTGTTGTAGACAACTCGTGAAAATTTAAATCCTCAGGTCACTCTGGTTTGTCACAGCCTCTGTGGTGAGATACCAAAATACTTTGTACTGACAAAAGCATTTTTAATGTCATAAATTCATACAGTTTTTAAAAGTTGATTCACGCAAAGTAAAATAAAATTGCCTCAAGGGATTTTTTTTTACATAGAACGATTGTCCACACATTTGATTAAAAACTAAATCTGAAAATTCTTAATCTCTGAACTCGTGAATAAAATCCTTCATCACAACAAGGAACAAGAGTTTTCACAGGGCCAACAAAAATAGAGATAGACTCATGCTAAACCTCGTATTACATCTGCATTCCTTTGAATAACACTTTGATAACGGGACATGACTTGTTTTTCCATCCTGCTGGTGCAGAGTTTAAACTTAATATTCTGTTGTTTTCACTGTCATGTATTTTCAGAAGGAGAGCCAAGGACAACAATAAGGCCAGTCCAGACAGTAAAGTCAGTTTTGCTGAATGCATTCTGGCATCATCCTGCTGAAATAACCATGGACCTCCTGGGTAAAAAGAGTCATCTTTATGGCAGCACATATCTCTCCAGGATTCCAATAAAAGTCTCAGTTTAAGTGGTTTCTTCACACATAAGCAAGAAATCCTGCCATGGAAACTGGTGCAACCCAAGGCCATCACAAGTGCTAACTTTTGCACCTTTTGCTCATGACAGACTGGATGGTGTTTCTCATCTTTAGCACTATCTACCTGATATCTGCCGCACCCCAAAGTGGATTTGGCATGGACTCATCTCGCCACAGAACATGGATCCACTTCCCTTTGCCCATCTGAGATGAGTTTGTGTCCAGAGAACTCTGAAGTGTGGGATGAAATAGATTTTCCAAGGTTCTTCAGAGCAAGTGGTTGTAGAGATCAAGGTGGCTGGCAAAGGGCTTGGACATCAGGATTATCAAACAGAGGTATCCAGCCATGGTTTCCACTGAGATTCTCATGTTTTTTTAAACAGCAGAAAGATAATTATTTTTTCTATTTTTACACTGAATTTTTAAAAGAATTATTGAGTCAATTTTTACCAAGTTTGGATTGATATGGTAAGTTTTTTTCTCAACACTTGTACACAGTGAATCATTTCTTGTCATGATTCTGGTTCTGTCTGTCCAGGCTGAGCCTAATCATCATTCTGTTCACCTGCCAGGCCTGATTGCCTTCCTGTTCCACCTGGTCCCCGCCCTACTTAAACACCACTCAGTCTCGGCCG